TTTTAAGGACTTGGTAAAAATATTCTTTAACAGTTTGATATTTTTTCTTTTTGTATTTTTCCTTGTGTTGTGGTAGTTGAGAAAATTACATTCAGAAAACAAAAATTATAATAATGACTTTTGTTTCGATATAAAAATTTGAATAATGTAGATATTTGCTAATCTTCTCTTAGTTTGACACAAGGCCATGATAATGCAGTGGTTTGTGAGAGTAACCTGCTAATCATTGTGCTAATGCAAGTGTTTGAGCATGTATAAGAGAGTACAATATAATTTCATTATTTCATTCTATGAACAAGAGGTAATGTCATTTTCATAGATGAACACTAATATTCATGGTCCTCCCCAGCTTTCTTTACTTTTACAGGAAGTTAGGAGTTTTTGTTACACTGATTCTTTATGCTTTCTTTTTGGCTTAACATTAGATGTTTCCTTTGTGACAGTTTGTTGCATGGACTTTATTAAAAAAAAAATAATACTATAATAGTACAGTAAATACTGTTGTCATCGGGGAATACTCACTCATGTGCAACAGAACTTTTGTCTGAAGTAGGTAATTGATCTTCATTTTCATCAGAAAATGACAAGGTACAGACTGTCATAACCCTTAGTAGTAGAAAATAAATAATAATAAATGAAACAATGCTTTCTTTCTAAGTTATTATGATAATATTATATGCTAGAGAAGTCAGTTATTTTTTTCAATGCACAGCATACAGAGGAACAAAAGTTGCTAAAATAAATTTTAGGTTTTATGGTCAGTTATATTTAGTTTTTGAAATGCAGAAAATAATGAAACCAAAGCAGAGAAGTGGTATACTCATGGTAAAGTTTGTGGGCAGTAATAAAAGCTGAAACCTTGCTTATGTATATTAGATTCAAAATACAACTGCGATTTCATTAGTTTATTCACCCCATCAAAAAAAAAAAAAACACCTGCTGATGATGTCGGAAATGCAACGGAATTAACAGTTTAAAAAACAGTGTCTACGCAAACATGGGTATCCACAAAATAATGTTTGAAGTAGTAGGAAATGTGTGTTTATATATATATATATATATATATATATATATATATATATATATATATATATACATATACAGTAGTGTTACATGCACCATGTTTAATGAAAATAATAATTTTTATTATTGCTACTTACCTAAAATCATAGAAGTCTTATAAAAATTTTTATTAGTTAATAATATAAAATAATTAAAATAATAATTAATGAAAAAGTGTAAATAATCAAAGAGAGAAATATAATTGTCTAGGTTTGTCTTATACACATACCTTTTAGACAAGTGCATTTTTAAAAAAGCTAGATAGTTTATGAAAAACTATTACATTTGTTTGTAAAAATTTCTATTTTTAGAATTGGCTGTAAAAGGACCCAAAAAATGTGCCAAGGTGGATTATTTCAAATTCATTTTTTAAATTAAAAAAATATGTACTATTTCTGTTTATTGTCCAATCAAAAATCTCAGCTTACACCCAAGTAAATTTGAAGTTAAGACCTGTCTGTAGCCTCTTCAATTGTTATATAAAGAGACTAGCTTAAAAGCCGTCCTATCAAGTGGAATTTAACCTAGCTCCTGCAGAAGGCTCTTGATTAAGCCTTCATCACAATAGGTAGGGAGGAGTAGATGTGATAGACAACAATAAACTACAGAAGAACTCGAAATTGATCACTGTAAGTGTTGTATTAATATTTAAGCTTACCTTTTAAAAGTTCAACAATAATTCTTCTGCCGCCACTTAATTTAAAGACAATTTGATGTACGTAGGTTGTTACTTTCTGTACAAACAATTATTTTTATTTCATGGGTGATATTCACTGGATTTCACAATTAATTTTGATTATTCCCAAATTTATTTCCAAATTATAAAAAATGTTATTGTACAAAAATATTCATTGCAAAAAAATCATGTAAAAAAAAAAAAAAAAAAAAAAAAACAATCACACTAATGAAAAATTGAGGATCCAGAGTTTCAAGATTGCAGGTCCATATCCACTCCAGAATGTTTTTAATTTCCTCATGGAATCAGCCTGATTCCAAAATGGTATGATATGTTGGACTATGGCCTCTAGGAATAAAGTTGAAAAAGTGTGACACACTGTCATTGACATTTATTTATATAGAAGTTCAATCTGGCAACTCTGTTCCTTTACTTTTCCATTTTTGCCATAGATGGCTAGAAATGTACAAACATATGAACAGTTCCTGGACATTTGGCCAGATGTCATTTCATTTGTGAACATAATTAAAAAAAAAACAAGAAAATGTCCCCAGACCAAGTCCTTCTCTGCGGTGCTGTCAAATGTGAACAACGTTTTATTTCCAGTAAAACTGCAAATTTTTATGTCTGTTTTGACAGACATTGAACTACTACTGCTAAAATATCAGGGCAATAAACCATTGCTTCCTTTCCTTGCAGATAATCTTTCCCGCATGATCATGAAACTGTTGAGATTTGCAAAGGAAGAGCACACTAAAATGATAATTACATTTTCCAAAATGAATGAATTTGTAAGACTTTTGTCAAACCCAAACATGCATAAAGATGCTACAAAGATAGTGTGGATTTTAAGCTGGTAGGGCTATGTAAAATTTATCTCAAAAAGGAAATATGTCAATAAAAGATCTGTTTGCATGCAGAATTGTAACAAAGACAATGTTCATTGTCATCATTGAGAAATTTCTTGCAAAGTCTCTCCTTAGATACCCTCTTGATAGGTCACTTGCATGGTTGAACCCTGGGTTTATTTGTAAAAAAAAATTGCCACAGAAGACAGTCTAAAAAGATGTCTTTCCCACATGATGGATAAAAAACAAATCAGCAAGTCTGATTGTGATGAGGAGGAAGCTGCTTGAAATATTGTTTCAAGAATTTCAGCAAGCATGAGGACCATCTGGACACTTTGTTCTACTATTCTTTGTCTAGGAATAAAGAATATCAAAAACTGGAGATTTGTTCACAAATTGCTAGTACTCTCTCAAGGAGAGAGGTTTCTCAGTTAATAAAGAAATTTCCACTGACAATATGAAAAAGCAGAGTGGTCACAATGTGCATTATTACAAACTATTTGACCACAGTTGAAAGTACTGGGAACATTCCCATGACTAAGGCTCTTCTCTGCTGTGCTTCCAATGCCAGAACAGCATACAACCAATACTTTGGGGTTGAAAAGAAAAAAAAAGGCAAGAAGAAGCAACTGGACAAAAATAGAAATTGAAGAATTGAAGACCAAAAAAACACAAACTTGAAAGTTGCACACACAATTTGCCCAAGTCAGCTGACAGCTATACAGTGAAAGCTGAGTAGACTTGGAACTTCACAGATATCACAAAATCCAATGCCATGCAAATCTGCAAAGGACAAATCCATAGATATATCAAAATTGAAAGAGGAGCTGAATGCTAAACTAGATGAACTGAAAAAATGTTAACATCATTGTGTTCTGTGGCATGTGCAACAAAAGTTGCACATGTTGCCATCAGTAGTAGGGGTAGCTAAAATGTGGAGTCTTTTTGTGAAAATTTCTATTTGTAGTTCTGTTCATTAAAACCATTATATTTAACTTCAAAGGAAATGTGCAACAGTCAAGATTTTTTGTGACATTTCTCAAATTGTGAGTAGTCTAGATAACTGAAATGTGTAGCAATAAGAATTAAAGTGTGTAATTTAAACTTTTCAAGTGTAATAAAACTCCAAACTGTGTAGAATGCTACACAAAATGTGTAACATAACCAGATCTGCATTCAGTTGTGTTTTAGCCTTCAACACTTGGATTTGTTTACTGCATTCAACTGATTCATGTGACATGAATTATTGGAACCAGCTGTAGCTTTTCTTTGAACATCTCATCTGTCAAACTATTAAAAGATAAATCACAAAGTTTGTGTTTTTGAAATTGATGATCATTTTCTTTGTGTGCATATGTACATACCAGTTTCAGTCCTTGAAGTTTCTTAACATAGTCCTGGAATTTTTTTTTTACACAGATCTGTGGGAATCTGGATCACTATTGTTAACCATTTGTTAAAAAAAAAAGGATATTTGTTTTGTGTTCTTAAATAATTCTTTTTTTTTTCTTTTTTTTTTTTTTTTAAGTTTCTGTTGATGAGTCATTAATTTATTATTTGAAATGAAAATTTTAGACCTCTCTGCTGCCAGTCTGTTGATATTATTGTGGTTTAAAATGTTTATTAAAAATTGCCAATACAAAACTTTATTGCCTGGGGAATGATTACTATTATAAAGACTTTAGTGAGTTTCCCCCAGGGAATGACTCATAACATTCCAAAACATTTCTTGAACAAATTATCAAATTACTAGATTCTGAGATATTAATTTTCCTCAGTAGAAAAGATTTTTTTCTAAAAAGAGTTTCTGATATTTCTTTTTTATTCTTATGTCTTTTTTTCCACTTTCTTTTGTATCCCAACACTTTTAGTTTAGAGTTTTTAAATTCAATCAGTATTCACTGTCAATGCACAACACCATATAAATGCATACATATACAGAGCTGATAAACAAAAAAAATTCTTGGCTTTGACCCACTTTTCAAAATCAGTATTTCAATGACCAAACATCAAAGTACTTATTTTGGGAAGTGGGTTTGGGCTGAGAACTTTTTATCACTCACTTGTATCAATACAGATGCACACACACACACGTCTATGTATATGTGGATAAAAATAAACTTTTAAACAAGATTTATTGAAATTTACCAATGAGATCTGGCTTGCATTTTTTTAAAATTATATTTTTCCAGTTTGTGTATAAGCTGTTGTACATCATGATCAGATTTATTGAGAGACCGTCCAAATAAATCCATATGCATGCATGCATGCTATTATATATATATATATATATATATATATAAAATAAAACCTTGTATGTAACTTTATTTTGGTATTTATTTACTGCTTTGCTCATAAATAAAACTATCAAACATTCTTATTCTTGCTTTCTCTATACATTATTTTCTACTCAGCCATCTTTTTTTCTTCTCCTTTTTCTTTTTTCTTACTCACTTTTTCTCATCCATTTTCTTTCTTTCTCTTTCATCCTTTCTATTTTTCCACTCATTTTTTCTTTTTTCCCCACTGATTCTTTCTTTTCTCCCTTTCCTTTCACTCATTCTTTCTTCTCTTTTTTGTTTTTTTTTCACTTATTCTTTTACTCTTTCACTTTTCTCATCCATTCTTTCTTCTCTTTTTTATTTTACCCTTCAATCTTTTTTTTTTCTAGTTCTCTCTTTGTTCTCTTCTTTCTCCTTTTCCCCTTCACTTTCATTATATTCTGCACTTACTAACTCTCTCTCCGATGTAATTACCACTATACTTTGAAGTTGTTTGTGTTAGGCAGGTCCATTCCATTGTTTGTATTGCCTCAACTTTCTACAGAGTTATTTTTAGCTCAAAAAACATTAAAACATTCTAGGAATGGTCTGCAATTAACTAGAAAGCCCTGGAGCATTTGAGTTGCAAGTTGAGTTATCAAAATCAGAAGTTGGAACTTCCAGTGGGATCATTAAAGCTGATTTCTCATTGTTGCAAAATCTTTGTTATGTCTGCAAACCATTTCCTTTCTCTAATTGCTTCTTCTTATGTTATTCTGTAATGAAAATTCTTTTTTATAATACTTCTTTAGTACAGCTATGTTCTTAGAAATAGCTTGATGGTTACAGCCTGGGACTAGAGATGATTTCCATTATTGGACAGATGAAGTTCATTAACCTTACACAGTATTTGATAGCATTTATTTATGCATAGGAGTTTTCTATAAGTAATACAGTTATCATCATCATCCTCATCATCAGTCTCATGACCAGGAATGGTTGTAGGGTTGCTGTACAACTGAATATCTGACCAGTACCCTCCATGTATTTAGGTTGAAAGCCAGAGAAGTATTCATTTGTACATAGTGTCTTGGGTAATTAGACCTGGTAGAGTCTATCCCTCTCCAAGTCAAAATACAGCCAATGTTTTCTGACTTGCTCACCTTGGTTACAGACATGTGGCTGTAGATGCCATGTCATCACAGCACTGGCATCATATGTAGGCATGGTAACTAGTCAACTCCATTGTGCTAGACGGCTACTGACCCTACAAAACAATTCATTTGGCCTTTGCGAGGTCTTATTTTTAATCCTGTTGGGTGTCTAGCTACTCTCCTCACTAGAAAAAATCCTTGCTGCGGGGACTGGCTTAATTGCTGATGACCCAACTCTGAGGCAGGTTAAATGGTATGTTAAATGGTATATGGCAAATTGTTTTCTTTTAGTAAATTTATGATTATAAAAATACTATTTGAAACAGTAAAAGTGTATATATGATTATTTACATTATTTATATTTGAGCTATTATCCTTATGTTCAAAAATTGAACTTGTTGATGTTTGAACCGACAAAGGGGCATAGATCTCTCACATGGCGTGTCATCCCATCAACACAAATTGCGCATAGGCTTCTAATCCCTGTGACACATTCCCCTTGATATTGGTTTTACCCACAGTCCCCTAACCCATATGCCAATCATCCAACCTCTCAATGACATCCATCCTGAGGACCAAGTTGAATCCTAAAAATTTGCTCTCCTCAACCAGAACATCTGTATTGATAGGGACACAATTGTCTATGTGAACTTCCATGCTTGTGACTCCTCGGCTTCTGAGGAGCTTTCTGTCACCTGTCAGCATGTCTACCTCTTGTCTTTCCCTTGGGTGACAATTGGATATGTTTGTAAGGCAGTAAGTTTCACCCTATTAATGCATACATTGATTATGTGGGAGTGTCTCTTTCATGACATGTGGAAGAGAGACTGGCACCAACATGGTCAGGTAGGAGAGTAACTGTACATTTACACCCTGGAGAGAGAGAAAGAGAGACAGACAGACAAGGCTGATGCATCGCCATCTGAACTGTTTCCCGGACAATCTTGTGACAAGGGCCCTGGCTTCTGGCACCTATGGCAGTAGTAGCGACACACCTGAGTTGTTTGCCTTTTTTTGAAGCAGTCCCTCACCTCGGTTTGGGCGATTACATCTGTAGTACTTAATTCTCGCAGAAGCACCTACAGTTGGAAGAACATGTTTACTTTGTGTGGGCCTTGCAGCTGCTACCACCAGTTTCTCTTCTGATTCTTCCTTCATAAGCACCTGGACCTGGGTCAGTAACTCCTCAAGTGGTAGTGAATCCATCCTGGAGGCCAACCAAATATGTTATCGTATGGAGGCAGGCAGTCCACAAACAAACTTGCATGCCATCACGCGGGTCAGGCATCCCTCTGAATTTTACCACCAACTTTCTCAAATCAGCCAGGGAAATATCTATAGTTTCAACTGGATGCAGGTTCTGAGCTTCAAACTGTATGCAGAGAAACCATCTGCAGCAAAAGCAGTGTATAGTGCATCCTTAATTCATGCTGCATCCACTCTCTTTCTTGGGGCAATTGCTGATACACTGCAAATGCCCTTCCAGTCAGTCAAAGGGGAATGATGGTCTCGAGCCACTTCATACCACAGAGGTTGTATACCAGTTTGACTTTCTCAACCCATTCTACCATTGACCCATTGTTGTCATATTCAGGAATTAGCTTTATATTGAATTCACCATCCGTCATGTTGCTGAAATAGCTTGTTTAAAAATTGATGTGACAATTCCACAACAAAATAAAGAAATTGAAAGTCCAGGCTTGAAGATCTGGTGACAGAAAGAAATGTTGAAATCACAAACTGCAGTTCCAGTGTCAAAGATCCCAATACATGTAAATGGTCAGAAATCCAACACACAAGGCAACAGTCACTTGCAAGTTGATGGACGTAGATAAAAGAATAAACTACCCCAATTTGACAACACCAACCACTTTTATCAACAGAACAATTTTTTTCATTGGTTGACAGGTGGGAGAGGACATGAAATAGTAGCAAGTCTGTGATGCATTTATGGCAACACCTGCAACTGACTTGTTTCTATTTTGGTTATTTTGTCTTTAGCATATTGTACAGAACACACATGCCCTTTTCCTTTTGCCACACCTCATCTTTGTTATTATCATCACAACATTTTGGCCATTGTCCCCTTCAGTCTTCCTCAGGTGTATATTGATCTACTGAACCCTTTATTTAATCTAGACTGGGTCTAGGGGTAGACTGTTCTTGTTTAGGGATATCGTCTAGTTCTTATTTTTAGTACTGCTCAGTTATTGCTTGCCCATTTCTAGTACGTACTGTCCAACCCAGGGATTGAACTCACAATCACTATGTCACCAAATTCATGAACCAACTCTTTAATCCACTAGACCATTGTCCTGTATATGTGTAGTTTGTGTAGTACTGCCTATACTCACTCTTTTTCCCAATATGTTTGTCAAGAATGCTATGTTTTATCTGTTGGTATCACTGACAAAAATGTTATTTTAAAACTCATGAAACTAAAATAAACTCATTCAAACTAAAAGCTAGAGAGTGACAAATTTTATCATTTGTTTTTCTATCCTGCCTTTTCTATTTCCCTTCCTTGACTTTTTGCTAATTTTACCAATGCTTGTAAATGAGTGTATCAACTAAGTAAAAGAAATATGCTTTTCCAGATAAACACTTAATTGTAACTGAAGTGAAGAGGCTACTTGAAGAATGGATAACCAAGCCAAACATTGGTGTGCTTATGTGATGGTGGCTGTGAATGAACAACACAAAAAAAAGTTGATTATTCTTAGACTATTAACCATTTTACAATGTTGCTTCACACAATAGTCAAACAGATATTTGTGAATTTTTTACCCCCCGATTTATTGATTTTGTTTAGCGGCATATCAACATTTATGGGTTATTTAATGTTGAAATCTAAATATTTTGAATGCAATTTTATCGCTTTAACTGAATATATTTTGTACATAATTTTATACTTTTCAAGTAAAGATGTGTCTTTTAGCTATATAGTTTGTACATAAAACTTATTGTTGGTAATTTTAGTATAAAAATGTCTTTTTTTAAATTTTTTTTTACTATTGCATTGGTTACCATTTTGCTATAAAAATGTATTGTTGATCATTTTATTATAAAAATGTACTGATTTTTGTTTGGGAGTTCATTATTTGCCCATAGCTATGACTCTAACAGGTACTACCACCCCAGGTCAGAGTGGACCTGGGAACAACACCAATTAAGAGGTGGTTTCAGGCTCCTCAAAACCTCCAATCTTCCGATCAGAGGCTTTGCTGCTGGATGTAGTTTGTCATCATCAGGATAAATTATCCCCCTGAATAATGTTCAACTTGATTACAGAACTGTATTATTGCTATTTGTACTTAAGATTAAAACCAAAATTTCACATTTCTAATTAAAAAAAAAATAAAAAGGAAAAAATGTTTTGTCTTAGACATTTTTTGATAGTGTTATTTAAATTTTGGGGATCAGAGACAAAAAAATATGGCAAAAAATTGTGTTAATTTCATCACTGAATTTCATGCTGCAGGGCTCCCAAATCCATTTAATATAGGTCATTTTTTGGAAAAGAGTGTCAGGTTAAACCTGTCTGTCAATTATAACATTCATTTCAACAAGATTCTAATGACTTTTCTCACAAAAAGAGGCAGAAAAAGCAACTATCCAGAACTGATCATCTAAAAATAAATTACTGAACATGTGTGAGTTGTGATTAAATTCTAATGATCATAATTTGACAAATACTTGGAGTTAGGACAAAGTTAAACAAGTTCCCAAATTCTGGAATTCTCCACTTTCAGACAAGATGTAGCATGTATCCCTTTGGAAATGTTCCAGAAATTCTAAATATCCACTTGCCAGCCCACTGTGAGATATTTACCTCCTACCAAGGATTAATGAATTGGCAAACACTGGCACAATAGAGTATTCCACTGCTATTAGGTGAACCATTTTATTGTGGTACCCAGTGTACTGTGGATGGGTGGTTGACCGCAAGATTTTGCTCTCGTATCCTCAATATTGCTTATTTTTTTAGAAACTCCACCCTATTTTACCAATTTTTGGACCATCTTCTTCATGATAGACAGAACAAACAGCGATCATCAGATAGGTTCTAATTTGTTTTAATAATTACACCCACTTTTCACAGGTTTTACCTATGATTTTGATGATCAAACAGCCCAAACTTTGGGAAATTTTAACCCCTTAGCCGTTTCACACCTAATCCAATTGTATTGGTAATAATTATACATGAATACTTTATATTTCTATTTTGCATGCAATCAAAGAGTTCCTATAATATCGGACTAATTAACAGGAATTCAATTACTGCAATCAGATACCACGAATGGGGTATAAATAGGAGTG